ACAACAACAAATCAGATTACCTTTTTGACTGTTTTGAAATGTATAACGGAGAACCAATCCATCAAATTCATGTCATGCGATAGAATTGCTCGAAATTCAATATCAAGGACAAATGACCAGTCAACTAACCTGATCAATATATTTTCTTAAAATGATTTTTCTAAACTAGAATTAAGGTCGTACATAGCTTGTTTGAAAGCAATTGGATTAGGAAGCGGCCATTGGATCTATTACAAGTTCTAACTTTTATGCTTATGCTTATTACTATTCGTTACACATTTATGCGTGAATTTTTCTATTTCTGTTTAGTTTTACTATTTATGTAAAAGATTATAACAGGTAATGAGATAAGAAAGATTGAATCATGTTGACGTTAATGATGGCATTACAATATATAAATTACAAATCAAAGCCATTCTATATGAGCATGGAAAAGTGGCTTAAAGACATCAATGTTTTGAAGTCGCCCAGCAAAGTGATGCGTCCGAGTTATTTTTTCTTTCTTGCTTCAATGAATGAAGAATCAAGACATTTTACTATCTAGAGTGCTTATGACTTTGTTTATCATGCATTCATTTATTATATGCATACAGTAGCTATATCACATCATGTCAAATATATCAGTTATAGTTAATTTTAGATATTTGGAACCCAAAGAAATGAAAGTTTTAAAGAAAGATGCGGTAAAATAATATTTAGTTTTTAGGAGTAGGAAATACATTTTTTTTCCTCTTTAATTTAGGAGTTGGAAATAAATTTTTTTTTCTTCTTTAATTTTCTAATACTCGGTTACATGATAAATAAGGGGGCAAGGTCACTATGGTAGGAAAGCCACAAAATTTTTATGCTAGAAAAAAGAAATAGGAATTACCAACAATAGATAATTCTAAAAGTAGAAACTACTAAAAATTGAAAGTCATATAAATAGAAGATATCAAAATTAGGAATTCCTGAAATTTCGACAGCCCCCTCAAGTTATAGCATCCAAAAAAAAAAAAAAAACAAAATCTCCAACCCTCCCCTTTGAAAGCAGGTGTAGAAAGGGTTTGTAATTTTTAAAATGGACATTTGTGGTAACAAATATTTTTTTATAAGATCAAGACATTTATACCCCTTTTGGGTAGGGGCATAACTCACAAATTTTGGGCTCGGGGTTGTTTTCTTGATTATGATAATGAATGTGAACAAATGCATTACACCCAAATATCTTTAAAAGTTTGAAAAATAAGAGCCGATTTGTTGGGTAAATTCTATGAAAATATCAAAAAGTTTTTCAAAATTCAAAATTTTATTGAGTGTTCTATCAGTAAGAATGGCTTCACTCGAAATATATTTTGACGCCTGATTTATAAATAATAATATCTTTGCTGCTTTATAAGTATATATATATATATAACATTTTGTTGTGGGTTATCGACACAAGTTTTAATTAACTATCCATTTAATAAAAAAAATGGCTTAAAATATTTTTGAATTACTCTCGGTTATTATCATTTCGTAATGTTTGAATAATTTTTTAAAATTGTGTTTGAACCTTTGTGTAAAAGTTTTTGAAAATCATCTACACTTTAGAATTTTCTTTCATTAAATATACCCAACGTAATCTTGTGTTATTCTCATTGAAGTTCACAAACAATTTTTTCCAAAGTATCTAAAATGTTTACAAGTACCCCATATATTAGTATGAATCAAGACATAAGTTGTTGTTTTACAAACTTATAATCTTCACATTGGAAAGTGATAAATTTTTATTTTGAAATAAATTGGAAACAAGAATTTTAAATTTTCAAAATTAGGATGACCTAATATATTACGCCACAACCTAATATCATTGTCATTGGAAATAAACCCAGAATTAAAACAAGTACTTTGGCATCGTTTATTCACATTATTTTTATCATCAAAAATAGAGTCGACCCTTTTTCTTACCACTGTCAATTATCCTCCAAATGGTTAATTCTTATAACTCGCAATAAGAATTGTAGAAATTAGCTTGATACTGATGATCAAAAGTAGTTTTATTAATGAAAAATAAATTACATGACAACTTGGGAACATGAAGTAGATTCTAAAGTGTTAACAATGAGGTGAGTTTGACAGTTTCTATTTCGACAATTATCGAGAACGATCCACAAGGTTTATAAGATGAGAATAATTTTAAACAATCAGTCATATATTCAATTGTGCAAAATATCAATTATCAAAGAATGAACAAAAATAGGTTTAACACTTAGCATTTTACTGACTAAAAAGCCAACCCTTCTGCACTGTACGATGTCAATGACAATTTTGGAGATTGAAATAACTTTTGTAAGTGCTCTAATTGCTCCTTGGTAAAAAGGGATTGCATTCAAACTCTCAAAAGACTCTTGAGAAGACTCTTTAGTTTCCTTGGCAGTGGCTTGATAGGCTCAATTTTCTTGTTTGGATTTAATTTTCAATTTGCAAGCTTACAATGAAGCTTACGACGCTTCTCTTTTGAATGTCATAATTTTTTTGCAAGGCTCACACCACCATGGGTAGGGCAAAGTGATTTCATAATTACTCACTCGTAGAAATGGTAGACTTTCTTTGGGCGCTGGGATTGCTGACTTGTACGACGTCATTAGAGGAGATAAGTTTATGGGACATAACCACAAGTTGATTTGGATCAAGTTACTTCATTGCCTTAGATCGAATCAAAGGAGAAGTTGGCAAAGAATCTTTGCTCGAAGTATCTTCGATAACATTCTCTCTATCTGCAATTTCAATGACGATGAAGGTTGAGAAAAAAAACTCGTAGAGAAGAAACCCGCCGCTAAGAAACTAGTGGTGTAAGGTGAAGAAGGCGGAAGCATTGGAGGAAGCCGAAAAAATTCTTGCTAGAAATAAACCGAGGGCCAAAAAATGACTTCCCACTTCAAATAAGAGCAACTCTGCGAGGTGGATAATCCTGTAGCCAAAAACTTGGCAGAGAAGACTCGAATGTGGGTGACCTTTTCTACCACGAGCAGCGGTTACGGGTGAAAGGTTACGAGTGGACTTCGGTCAGCTCCCACATCGCACACATTATCATGATTGTCTTTAGGAGCTCCAAGTTATGAGCCTTACAATCACGTATTTGAATGCTTCGACTTACGAGTTCGATTCACATTTTTGAAAGCTTTGGTTGCATCTTCGAACGCTTCGAAAGGTTACGATCGCGTCTTCGAACACTTCGGGTTCATCAGGTTACGAGCTTCTTCACATCATCGAAATAGGAAACATAGAAGCATAGATCGCGAGTGGGGAGAAAGCCAAATCTTCAAAGAATATTAACGCCACCACCTCTAGTGTGTTAACCTTAGCTCTAATACCATGTTGTTTTTAGGAGCAGAAAATAATAGTTTTTCCTCTTCAATTTACTAAGACTCAGTTAAAAGATAAATAGCGGGGGAAGACAACCACGTTAGGAAAGCCACAAAATCTCCATGCTAGAAAAAGGAAATAGGAATTATCAACAATAGATAATTCTAAAAGTAAAAACTATTAAAAAATAGAATATAATAAAAATAGAAGATATCAAAAGTAAAAATTCTTAAAATTATGTATAATACATAATTATAAAAAGGATACTTGTGAGATTGGGAGGCCAAATGGAGGTTGAGAGGGGGAGGCAATATGAAGTGTGAGAGGGGGTGTAAAGATGAGGCACTAAGAAGTGTCTAAGAATTCACAAACAAGAATTTGTGAGGAAGTGTGTGAGCATAATATATTGGTGCCAACATTAATAATCGACAATAATAACTAACAATAAATGCCTACCAAAATTAGTGCAAGCGAGCGAGTGCGTGTGAGAGAGAGAGAGAGAGGAAGAGGAGAGCATTGACAAGTGATGACCAAGGAATGAATATTTTGAGTAGAAGTGAACATTTGTGCCCTAGATATTGTAGCAGTTGCTAAACCAACATGACTTTGTTTTGAGGTGAAGCTGATCAAACAATGCCAGGACAATATTAAAATGCGTGTGTGCATATATTTTGCGATAAGTTTCATAGTCTTGTGATGCACATGGCCATGTCATCCTAAATTTTTACTTCTAAAGCTCACTTTTAATAACAATAAATGAAACATTTATCCTGAGGTTTGGAAAACATCAACTGATGTCTCAACATCATTAAGTTATGAGAAGATGAATTTATGATGTTAGGAGGCATTTTTAGTGGAAAAATTTTCTGTCCGGACCCCTAACGTAGCTCTACGTGCGGTATCTAATAATATGCAGCCATCTATGCTACATCGGGGAAGTTATTTCGGGGTTATTGAAGTGGAACCACAACAATTATTTCTAGGTTATTGAAGAAGAACTCATATATTCTACTTCAATAACCCAGAAATAATCTCCGTGGTTCCACTTCAATTACCTCGAAATAACATCGTGGAGGTTGTTTTTAGGTTATTTCTGAATTATTTCTGGGTTATTGAAGTGAAACCATATATTTCAATTCAACAGCCCCAAAATAACCCAAAAATAATATATGCGGTGTTATTTCTGGATTATTGGAGAGAAACTCACCGCGGAGGTTATTCCAGGGTTATTTCTGGGTTATTGCGAAGTCCGCGGTTCTAGTTTAATATTTTTTAGGTGGGTCCGATATAACACACATGACGATATACGATATATTACTGGGAGTGTCCGCACATAGAGCTATGTTGGGAGTCCGCACATAGAGCTACATTGGGAGTCCGCATAGAAAATTTTTCCATTTTTAATTGTCATAAAAGGGATATGAAGTCTATGAGATGCCTTAATGGTGTTTTCTATTAGTTTGATTAATTAGTAAATTTTCTTTAACTTAAATGTTTCTTTTAAATTTGGTAGTGATTCTAGTGAAATTTTCTTGAATATGTTTGCTATTTTCTGCTATGTTACTTGTCCAGGAGTTTTAACTCTTTTTTTTTCATTGTTATTTGTGAATTGAAATTTGATGCAACATAATTTCCATCAGCGATCATGATTCTAGGTTTTTTTTGCCAAGTAGGTGGTGAGGAGAGAACAATTAAGCTCATGGAGAACCAGGCCAAAACCAGCTCTAGCATGCCTCTTTTGGAACTGGTCTATGAAGATGGAGTTATTAGGCATCCATTTCCATTGAATTGCTGTATGAGGAACTGGTATCCTGGCCCAGAGTTCTATCAAGCTGTGAAAATTGGTATTGTACAATATGTAAGGGTTTTTTTTTCGGCATGGTAATATTTCTGATGATTCTTTTCAAACATTCTAATCAAATTTTTTTCTTCAGATGATATTAAAGACAATTTGTGCTCTTTTAGCCATCATTTTACAGCTATTTGGTGTTTACGGTGAAGGGAAATTTGAATGGACTTGTGGGTAGGATCAAAATCCATTATTTTTTATTTTAGGGGAATTTTATTTTACCAATTTAAAGCAACTTCTAGTTAAGAAGAGTGAATTTGTGGTAATTTTGTTGATGAACATTACTGTTATATGTGTCGGCAGGTATCCTTATCTAGCGGTTGTTTTGAATTTTAGCCAGACATGGGCTTTATATTGCCTTATACAGTTCTATTCTGTTACCAAGGACAAACTAGATCATATAAAGCCTCTCGCGAAGTTTCTTGTGTTCAAGTCCATTGTATTTTTAACCTGGTGGCAAGGAGTTATCGTTGCTTTTCTATTTTCGACTGGAGCTTTTAAAGGTCATTTAGCACAGGAGCTGAAAACACGCATCCAAGATTATATAATATGCATTGAGGTATGATGTTATATAATTTCAATTTACTCTCTTCCTGTTTATTTTTTTCCCCAATATAACCTCTAGCATTTTTAAATATATTGATGCTCGAGTATTTCATCAATTATAGTGGACATAGGAGTTATAAAATAACTGCCATACTGAAATATTGTATGATCTCCTAAAAATGCAAGGTTTGCCACAATTTACAGGCGATCATTAAATGGTGGAAATGGTGGGTTTATGAGGGAATATTATGCCCCAATTTTTATGGCAAGTTTATCAGAGAGAGAACTTAATTTCTTTGGAAATGGTGGGCCACCCATATTTTGGAACTTAAGTTAGAAACTATGATATTTTTTGAAAGAGATTCATCTTTCATATTTTGGCCTTGCATACTTATTTATAAAAGAAAATTGAGTCAATTTTATAACCTAAATGATGGATCTCAACCAAATATTTTTTAGTAACATAACATAATTTTATATTGAGATGAGTTGAAAATTTTTGACATTTTTCTTTTAAGTAACATTACATAATTGTACATTGAGATAAGATTAAGATGTTTTCATGATGTTTTACACTATCTATCTATATATATATATATATATAAGGTACATAAAAGTTGTATGAGAAGACCCAATAAAGGCGCCCTACCCATACGATACATAGACACGAACATCCGAAAAAGGATAAGACGGATAAAACTCTAAAATTCAAAACTCGTAGAAAATAAGTTGCTAGGGACGAGCCAGCTTGGTCCTGCCTCTGTCTTTGGTGGAGCCAGCTAACAAATTGCTGAGTGTCGTGCCATTACCCGAAGTTACTAAAGTATCATCCATTAAGTTCCCAAGCTGTGGTATGCCTCCTTTCTTCTTTTTTCTTCCTAGATGTGTATATCTGCCATTCCTCATCCGAAGACTGGCTCATCTGATCAGTGTGGTCAACAAATTGTCGGGCATGTAGAAGAGGATGAGCCCCCAGCTCCCGAGTAACAGTAACAACATTCTCATTCTGAAGATATGATAAACATGTCTCTTCAGCACCTGATGCTTCCTGAGAATGTGAAGCTGCAATACTATCCTGATTATCAGACCGAATGATATCCTTTGGAGGTAAGGATCCTGCAGTATTGTTTTCAACAGTGTTAGAGACTGTAGGATGCCCAAGTAAACCATCTGCCAATAAATCAGTCGGAAGAACATAAACAATATTGTTTCTGGTAGTGGGAGGGAGAGGTGGCATCGTGTCAAATGGTGTTTCAATAGTCTGTGGAATGCACTCAGGAGCGGAAGAGGGAAGGTATGAAGTGGGGCAGATCCAGTAGCATTTTTACTTGGAGATTTTAGATTCGGATGCAACTGATAACATTGAGAAAGAGTGTACAATAAAGAGGTATCTGTTCAAGTTCTGCTTGCTGCCAAAACCCCTGATGCTGTGTGTCAATCCATCTCTCCCGGAAAAGGTAAAGTAATATCCTGTTCTATCAAAATTCTGGCTTCAGAAGGCCGAGTCAGATTCACTGTAGGCGTATCAGTTTTGAGAGGTTTACCGTATACCATCGCTAAAGTGAAGATGAGCTCTTGATCATAAAGGTGGATCTTCAAACCTGGGAAGCGCAGCTAAACGGGAATGGTAGGAGGTTTAGTACCAGGGTCAAAATCCACCGTCCATTTCAAAACCCTCTTCACCTGGTTGTCTATTCGAAGGAGTCTTCTCACAAACAAATGCGTGTAGTCTTCATCATTTGATAATTGAATGAGAATGTGCCGACAATCCAATTTAAATCTAATTTACCAATCTTCCAACCCTCTTGCAGCTTCATTTGCTCAAAATTTTTTCGAATTAGCTCAAGTTTAGGGTTTTCATAAAGAAACTTACCTGCTAAGAACAATCGAGCTAAGAACAGTCGACAGGGCGCAACTAGGATGGAGATCTCGGTCTCTGTGAGAAAAATTGCAGATTTGCCGTTATTACGTGATGCTTTTTTGAGAAATCCGGTTTCAACGCCAAGAGCAAAAGTATCGTGGAAACGTTGCAGAAACATATTCGAAAGAGGGGCGAGAGCGGGGTTATCACCGGCGAGACGAGAGCGACAATGTAAGACAATGTAAGAAAGAATCCCTGAGGCCATCACCTTGGCTGGTGTCAATCACTCTATGAGGAAATATCGCAAAAGAGGGGCGAGAGCGGCAGACAAGAACACAATTGTGACTTTGCGAGCAGAGCAGCAGCTCTGCGGCCAGACTGAGACGACGCGAGGACTGCGAAGGAGGCGTCGTGGACAAACGACGACGTCGTCTGGAAAGAAATGCGAAAACTGAAGCCTACCTTGTCGTCTGGAAAGAAATGCGAAGACGCTAGCCTGCCACCAGAAGCGACAACGCGACGGGAGCACCGACGAAGACGAAGCAGAGAAATAAAAATGCGAGAGAGATCCGTGCAACAGAAAGCTAGGTTTTGCCAGGAGGCAAAACCATAGTAGTTATACTTTTAGGTACAGTAATGCATATATATAGGCGCGCGCACACACACACATACATATACATACATATGTATATATATACATACATATGTATATATATACATACATATGTATATATATACATACATATGTATATATATACATACATATGTATATATATACATACATATGTATATATATACATACATATGTATATATATACATACATATGTATATATATACATACATATGTACATATATATATATATATGTACATACATATATATATATATATATATATATATATATATATTCACATCACGGGCTAGGGTTTCACCTGACGACGATTCCCTCCTTTGAATCTCTCAGCTCTACTCTACCGGCTTCCTCGTGCCCGACGAAGAAGGGTTCCACGATATTTTTCGTCTTCTTGTCTTTCCGCAAACCCTGCGATTGTCTGCTTCGACGATGATGGGTCTCGCGTTTCGTCGTTCTGTCGTTTCGTCTGCTCCTGCGCTTCGTCCCTCCTCACCCGCACTCGACGTTCGCGTCGTCTTCTGTACTCGACAACGCTTTCTCTTTGCCCGATATAAATCGACATTGCCTCTGTCGCCCTGCCCGACAGAAGGTTTGCTCCCCTTGCCGCTCGCCTAGCATCTCTTCAGATGGCCTCGACCATGCGTTTCTATGCCGCTGCAGTTGCCGGTGACTTTCCTATTCTTACTCGTATTCCTCTTTCAGGTTCAGAGCCTGGTTTTCATAACGGCAAGTCATGCAATGTTCCACAATCATTTCACGAGGCTCTTGAAGGTGGTGGCGATCACACGTTCATTAAAAAATTGAGAAAAATAAATGAGAAGCTTGCTCTTATTCTCACAGAGGTTGAAACCAGTATTCTAGCCTATTCGTGGCGTTTTGCTCTAGTGAGAAAATTTCTTTATGGTCATCCAAAATTTGAGATCATTTGAAAAGAATTTGATGTTATGAAGCTGTTGGGCAGTTGAAATATTGGGTTACTTGTGAAATATTGGGTTACTTGACGGTGTTACTTGACGGTCGACACATACTGATTCAGTTGTCTCACGATGCCGATTACACTTGCATTTTTTCTCGGAAAGTTATCAAGTTCGACAACTGTTATATGAAAATTCTGAAGTAAACTGTTGGTTTTGATCCTAAAGCAGAGTCCCCTATCATTCCAGTTTGAATAACGTTTCTGGGGTTAAAATTTTATATGTTTAACTTGAAATTCTCTACTCCTTAGCAACTGCTTACGGTAAGCCTCTCAAGGTTGATAGTCCTACGCTTGCTGTCACCAGACCCTCTGTGGCTTGTGTGTTAATTGAGAGGGATATCACTCAACCAGCTCCGAATGAGATATGGATTTGAACCACTCACAACGGGTATTGACAAAAGATTGAAATAAAACCACACCCTCCTTATTGCTCTTATTGCAGTATGTTTGGCCACAACTCTACTATTAGCTATCGTTTGCATCCTCATTTAAGATCGGATATCGCTAAAGATCAACCACCTATCATCCCCTATTGAGAAGATGCAACTCAATCCTCTTTCCAACACCGCAGTTCCTGACGAAGAACACCATAATACAGCTACAGACCCAGTTGTGATTATACCACCAATTAATATTGAAGAAGACTCACTTACATGCCAAGGCACACGAGAGTGCTCCTTTAATCAAATAACAGATCAGCCAGTACAACATGTAGTTGCTTCTAATGTACAACAACTTGCACATCTCCAACACATTTTAGACCAAGATTAGGTGAGTTAATCTTCAGATGACGAATGACAGGTCTACTCTAGGAGGAAGAAGAAGAATGGAGACCGACTCCAACTTGGGAATATATTGGATGATACATTGGTTACTACTGACAATGTCAATCATCTTACCAACTTATTAACTTGCTCCTTTCCTAGAACTAGAGGCAAATACAAGACTAAATTGAGTCGCTCTCTAGCTACCTGATACTATGTTTTTCGGCACTTTTAGTCATATTCATTAAGTCTCTAATGTACTTTTTTGTATTTTCTAGTTTTGGAACCATTTGTGATTTTTGTGTGGGTAGGGTGCCATGCTTGGGCCGTCCCACACACTGTATCTGTATCTTTCTTTCTAGTTAAAATATTAGCCTTTTTGTGCTTTTTAAATATATATATGTATGTATGTATGTATGTATGTATGTATGTATATATATATACATATATATATATATATATATATATATATATATATATATATAATATTAGCCTTTTTAGGCTTTTTAAAAAAGGCTAATATTTTAACTATATATATATATATATATATGTATATGTCAGGGGAAGAGGTCAAACCTTCGATCCCGAAGGAGAAGGGGGCAAATCGTCTCTTCCAACCCGACGACGTCGTTTTGTTCGCTTACCGAAGACGACGTCGTTTTGTTCGCTTACCGAAGACGACGACGACGTCTCTTTTCATACGTCGTCTCTCGACGACGCGTCTTCGTGCAACCGACGAAGACGATCTCAAACGATGACGCGCTGCTTGCTTTCGTCT